TGGTAAGCTTGCGTGGCAAGCTGCGGATTGAGGTCACAATGGCTTACCCGCTGAACATTTTCCCCATCCGCTTCTCGGCCGGCTGCTCAGATGAGGTGCTGCCACATGTAAATACTGTGAGCCCCTACTAGTAGCTACTTGTTCCTAGTAGTAAGGCCAGGAGCCCCTAGTAGCGTCATTGCTCCTAATAGCGATGCCAGGAGCCCCTAGTAGCTGCGGTTTTCATTAAGGTGTTGCATGCAACCACTGGTTTCATACTTTGGACCAGTGTGGTCAAAATCACACTGGGATGGGGGCACGATTGCGAGTTTAACACGAAAACGGTACACAAAAGAAGCTCCTCTATATACAGGCAAATGACAAAGTCGTCTCTTGTTTATCTACATTGTGGATTCTTTGTTTCATAGGTTCAACAACCTTTGTTGCATCGGTGTTTGAAATGATTCATTGACAGTCCCTTGGTGCAAAGGTATTGTTGAGTGGAACATTGTGGTGGGTCAGTTGGCTTTATAGGCGAGGAGAACATGTTTCTCTATAGATAATTAATATAAACAAAATGCTTGTTTTTACAGCCTTGTGGGGCATATGTCTTCTAGAGCACCTTTGATTCATGTTTGGACCTCGCCTGGACCTCGCCTATTTGCCACCTCCTCTCAGTGAAGTTTCTCCATTTCCTTTCAACCTTGTAAGGTTCTGTGATACTTGTAAGGTGGTGTAGAAGTGAGCGAGGAAGAAAGAGTGCAGTGTGAGCACTCCAACAATCCTTGCGTTGACATGGGGAATTGTGGCTTCAACCCCTTTGTGCGCAAACCGTTCTACCACTGAAACGCAACCTAAATGCAGGATGTATTGTTCAACATTGCCTGAAATCTGGCCGAACACTCTCAAGGTGTTGTTGCCACAATGGGCGAAACGTCGAAACGGTGAATCACTGCGTTCACTTGGGGGAATACACAAAAGGGACGCAGAGGGATGACATTGTCCACTCCCTGTAGGCCCTAGCTCGCATGGAATGAGGCTCCTAGGAAATGAAGGGAGGAAAAACCAGGTAACATGACGAACATGTGAGGTGTGTAATAATATCTCTAGTTTCTGACAGGATATGATATGATACATGAACGGCACATATCCAACTGAACTGAACCATTTATTCCTTTGCTGACTCTTTGTGTGTAGACCTTGTGTTTAGGGTGGCAGTGCTTTTTGTGCACACTCCATCACTGAATCTCACTGGCATGCATATCCGCCCATTCAGGCTCCAATCACCATTCAATGTGTGTTTTTAGATCCTTTCCTGATCTCATCGCAGTGGCCATCTTTGGTGTCTTGCCAGTCTTGCCAAAACAACGTCCTCATGCTTGTTTTTTTTTGACTACGGTGATGCTTCTATGTTGGTCTATCCAGTCTTTGGCCCTGGCAAGCAAATTTCTGAGTGGCAGGTACACGGGAGAAACAGAAAGTATAATGCGTGCTCCTTACTGTTGTTTTCTCCTCACTGGACTTTCATGCCTCACAGGGAAATCAAACGGCCAGTACTCAGCAAGTCAAGTCAATTCCATTTTTGAAGGTTTTCAACAACTCCTTTTTGTTGGCATGGAAAGGACATCAAAACGTGACACAGAATGTACGGTCTTACGATCTTGCCACAATACCATTGCGAGGGACGGCCAGTGAGAAATGAGGAATCGCACGCCCCAAACACACCCCCTTCGTTGCACTTAGCAGAGCCCTCACGCCTCTGACTGTCAGAGGCTTCTCCGAGATAGAACTTTGGAGCACCCAGTCGCTCACTAAGGTTGAGACAGCGCTCTTCTACCATAAACCACATCTTGACAGACCAGGTGTGCGCACAGGTGAGGTGGCCCAGAAGAGATGGGGTGACCAGACGAGGGGCTAAACCTGGACGTGGTGCTGAAGATATGACAGGATAAACCATGGGGTGACATGGAAAAACACCATGTCCTGCACAGCGGCATGCAACAGAAGGAATGTGTTCTTTGTTTCAATCGCAGGGTGGCTTGTCCCTTGATGATCCACTGGGTTGTACCTGCGAGGGAGGCATCCCCAACCGCCCAACAGTGTATCTCCGCGGGATGGATTGGTTGGGTTTCCTCAGGTGTCCTCACTTTTTAAGGCCAAGGGCCCACTGAAAGGAGCATGCGAACAAGACAGAGGGCGCAGACTGGCTTTGGCCAGAAGCGACATGAAGAAGTTGTGAAGGTAGCGGCCACTTCTCCTTTATTGCAACATCATATATATTAAATAAGAGAAATCAGTAAATTGCTTTCGCCTTTGAAATACGGCCTTCACTCGTGCATACGATTTTCTTGGAATGCGCGCCCTGACAGAGAATGACAGAGGTGTCACCCTCAAGATTAGTGCGGTTCGAAGGCCAACTAATGTCAACTCCAATTCACCAACACTCCTAGTTTGGCTGCAAGTAGCTGGCCATACTACTAGGAGCAAGAAGCTACTAGCCACTTCCTTTCCTCGAAGCAAAGCCGCGAAGTCACGACTGTGTCCACAATTAGTCATCGTTGAGGCATTGCTGTGGCTGCGGTGGCGTCGAGTTTGCTGGTGGCGATCGTGCCGAGATTGCATAAGATGTGTCCAACGCACGGGTTTGCTTCAAACATGTTGATCGTATGCAAGCATCTTCAGAATGGACTCTACAGAATCTACCTAGGTGTTGGACGTTCTGTCCTCTAATGTGCTCTACCAACTGGGCTCGACCACGTTCGAAGTTGAAATAGAGATGGACTTCACAAAGCCCTGGACTTCAGCCTTGTCATGTCATAAACAGTGTCGTGAATGACGACAATGAGTGAGAAGCACCTGACCTTCACCGTCAACTAAGTTTTTTTTGTGTGTGTGTGTGTGGAAGAAGGCAAATATTTGATAGTTGATAGTATTATGTATGTCATATATATATATATGTTAGTATGTTAGTATTAGTATATGTTGTATTATGTGTTTGTATTTTTTAAGGTCGAAGACCCATGAACCAAGGTCCTTTCGACACCATCGTCAACCGCTGAGAAGTTCAACCCTCAAATCACGACAGACTAGTGGATGTCAAAGAATCTCATAGTGTGTGATCTGGAAGCAATTTACCTGGTATGTAAAAAAATAAAAGCACTTCCCAATCCAGGTGCAAACGCATGCATGTCCATTTCTACCAACTAAAATATGCCACGGGAAGGTATATGGGGTCCCCACTCAGACGTTTGTTCATGCATTCATCAAATATTCTGAAGCTTTAACAGTAGTGAATGTTGATCGGTGTACAGTGGCCACAAGCTTTCCCACAGCACCTGCTGTGCCACTAGGGTTGGGTTGTGGCATTCCATGTGTTTCGTGCCCGTCGAATTTCCTGGGAGTAAGCAGAGAGAGAACTTGAGAGAACACCAATACGTCTTGTGGTGGAATTCCTTTATCGCTGGGAGTGCCTCATTTATCGCTGGGGTGGGATTCCGGTCCGTTGCCGTTGGGGCCGGCGCTTTGGTTCGAAGAACGCGCCAGGCATTGCCTCAGATCAACCTGGTCTTTGAGCTGATTGGGGTGCGGGTCTCGGAACCCCCTCCCCGTGGCTCGTGGCTGGACAACCTCCAGGTTCCTCCGGTCCCTGGTGTCCTGGTCCCTGGCTCCACGCGAGGTGTCGGTGTCCAGGTCCTGATCGCTTCGTTCAGGGTGACCCTGTGGGCTCAAACGGGTGCAGGTTCTGAGCGATGCATCAAATGGGTCGTTTGAAACAATGCGATGCATCATATTTTTTCAAACAACCGCTGTAGCCCTGATCTCAAGGAGCAGCAGCAGTCATGGTAGTTGTGGTAGATCCTTGCTGTGGTTGTTGCCAAGAATCGTGAAAGCCTTCTTTTTAATCATGTGCAATCCATTCACTTCAGTTTGGATGGCTTAAACTCATCAATAGCAAACTGCCATGCTCTTCAGCCGCACTGTTGCCATAGTCAGACCAGTACCGGGATGGCACTGGATGTTGATCGTGGTTCGTGCTTTGTCTTGTGGCAAGAAGTCGCCTCCTGCTCTGAGGCCACCACCGGCAGCTTCGTGTGCTTTTTAGGAGCGATTCAGTCGGGTGTTCTGCAGGAGGAAGTGGAATAGATGCTGAAACACAGCCCTTTCTGCCAAAATTTTCCCTGTAAGTTGTTTCAGAATCAGGCTCCGGCAAGGCAAGACTTCATTTTTGGAGAACCACTAATGTTGGGGTCGGATTCATAACCCCCCACTATAGAAGGATTTTTGTTTGGTGGTTTGAGAAGGTCAAAGACTATATCTTCATTGAAACAGGGAAGGAAGGCGGGCAGTATTGCACAAAAAGGCCGCGATAAAGCTGGACCAGACAAATCTCCAGGTGTTATGGCACCCAATTTTTCAACATGTGCTAGCTGCTATAGAAGGTTTTTGAATTGCTAGCTGCCTGACGGACTTACGTTTTGTGCGTTCCTTAGCGTAGTATGTATATTGGAAACTGTTTCGTGCCGTGCATGGCTGTGTTGACATGCCGAGGTGAGGACACATTTAAAGAACAAACAATAATGCCAGTGCGTTCAGGGAGCAAACCCAAATGCATCAATTGAACAAGTGACATTAAACAACTGGAGCAAGAAGCCGAATCACCACCACCACAAGCTGCACACCCCAATGCATGTTTAGCAATGCCGGCAAAGCATGCGAAGAACACCGAGCCCTTTCCAGATGATGAGCGGCTCGATGCTTTTGAGCCCGTTGGACAAATGCGGTGTCATGCTTTTTGTTGGGTGCTTGGCAACGAACGATGGGTAACAGGAAATGTTACCCCACTGCGGGTGAAAGATTATTAGAACGACAGGTCAGGTCATCAAAGAAGCTGAAGCATTACTGAGCACTGACGTCCGAAAAAGGAAGGAAAGAAGGCAACACCGGGCCCTGCACTGCTACTCGCGGCTTGAAAAGACAAGAGCAGATGCGTTTTGTCAGAAGTTGGGAATTTGTCCAAGAAGTGTGTGTACGACGTACGAGCCATACAGATGCATTTCCGGGGACCGTAACTCACCTAGCTATATGGATGAGGTCTGGTTTGTAGTCTAGGGTGTTGCACGTTTTGGAATACACATGCGGAACCTGACGTTATACGTATTGCGTGCAGGCGAACAAACCTAATACGGGGGTCTTAATCCTTCAGCGGAATGCAAACTGACAATCATTGAACATCTCAACATTCGCAAATAAAGTGAATCACTCTCATTTGCAAATCTCAGCATTTATTGAACCCAATACAGCACATGAATCGCCCTGTGCAGTGCTGCGAAGCCCGAAATGCATGGGTTTGTCCAGACCTTGCCTGTAAGCTGGATTTGCGTGAGGACCTTCAGTGTTCACAAAGAGGTAAGCCTGGCTGTCCCCACTCAACGACAATGCATTGGACCAACGAGGCGAAAGAGGTCAACGTCCATGACCCACCAACCTTTTCAGCTGCTCTTAGATGTCATGGACCGTCCGGAAAGACCACATTCCTCCAGAAAGTGACCCATTGTTGATGTTAATGGCCATTATACACAAGGTCCAAATACCCGCCCTGGCTGTTTGGAGAGGCCCTGGCCTGCTTTTCCATCGACTGGTGTGGAGGCCTTAGAACCGGTAGTGACGGGAGGCCTCCAAGAAGTGAGGCAGCGCCGGGTTGGTGACCTGTCAAGCCTTCCTCGAGCATTTGGAAGGATTTGGGCAGACACAGATGGGCGCGGGGAAGGCACGCGACATTTCAATACTCATAGTTGTTTGGTAATATAATATTCACAAGATTCCAGGGTTTTGACCGGCTGCCATGTCACCATGGCAAACAACTCGAGTTTCCTTTCCTACTCGTACTTTATATTTGTATCAATTTACATCGGAAGATCGGACCCAAGACTGCAGAGACCTTCAAACGCAGAAATGGTTTGAGTGTTGGTTGCTTGAACAATTCTTTTGAGGCCTAAATCGTAGTGTTTGTTCGGTCGTGCATCCTCCGAAGTTTCACTTTTGGGGTGATGTTTCCTCACCCTTTTGGCCCTACATTCCTGCAGCTGAAGAGCGGCGAATCAAGTTTTAGCCAACTGAAGAGCTGAACCTCCGGTGTCCAAGGCCAGGACGAATTTGCTCACGTCACAAGCTCAAGGCAATGGGATGCATTCGGCTTTTAGCACCGCTGTTTTCGACCCTGAAGCCCAGATCTCGAAAAAAGAACATGTAATGTATTGGATGGATTCTCATCTCTGGTTTGGTGCTTGGTTTTTGAAACAGCCACTTTTTAGGGGCAGACAGGAACCGATCCCGAAGAGAGCTTTGCACGGCTTTGCAACACAGCCATTGTCCCGCGCAGCTGTGTCCCCTTCATGGTCGGGTCAAATAATAGGAAAGGATTCACTCCAATACGAGTTGTACCCACACTGTGGGGCTATGCAAAACAAGCCAGAGTCTGTGTTGTTTGATTGGTTAATTAGTTGATGTTGTTGGCATGGTGCAATGTCCCCATAAATAAACTCAGAACAGGTGTATTTCCTCCGTAGCATCGGGGCTCGAAAGGGTTCTTTGATGGGAGGACCGGGCACTGGTCCTCCCAGTCGCTTGTGCTCCAGGTGCGAGAAATTTGAGGTGCGGGAGGACGGCATCTCACTCTGCCTGGTGTGCAGGCGGACGTATCAACTAGGTACCACCGTGCTGCAGGTCTTTCCGAAAGAGGCGGAGAGTTACGCGCTCAAGTTCCTTGACAAGGCATTTGGGTGGCTCGAGGACACGCTCAAGGAGGCCCAGGACATTGAGCGTGCAAAAGGGAGCGGAAGTGCCCCTCCCAATCCTCCGTCAGTTGTTCCTAGTGCTGCAGCCGAAGCCCCGTTGAAGAGGAAGATTGTTGATAGCCCACCTGCACGATCCAAGCCCACCGAGGAGACAGCCCGCATCAAGAACTGCCCATCAGCCCTAGAGTCAAAGCCCAAGCCAAGTGAGACCAGCCGACCATCTTCGTCCAGCCGAGGAGTCCCTACAGTTCCCAGCCGGGTTCCAACTCCTCCAAAGGCACCCCCTATCCTCACACCCGCCAAGGCAAAGGGGAGTGTTGCATTGGTTGAAAACTCCCAAGTGCCAGCACCAAAGCCCACCAAGAGTGACCCAAAGAAGGGATCAAGTGAGCCGTCACAACCCTTGCGGCTGGCCAGCAAGTCCAAGCCTGAGCCATCGAGGAGACAACCGACTCCAGAGGCTGAGGCTGAGGAGGTGGCGCCTGACACGCCAAAGAAGAGCGATAAGAAGAAGAAAAGGGAGAGCAGCAGCGCATCTCCCAGTGAGAGGAGCAAGAGAGGGAGGCGAGAAGATCGAGAGAAAGAAAAGAAAAAGCGGAAGCGAAAGCAACCGAGTTCGAGCAGGAGTTCATCGGTGACAGGACCACGTGTCAGGGAGTCAAAGCGAAAAGAAAAGAAGGGCAGACCCCTGACACCTCCACGGCCGCGGAGTCCCCACACCCCGCCAGGTCCTCCGCCTCCGCCCTTGCCACCGCCATTGCCACCAGCCCCGAAGAGAGGTTGGGTAGGACCCATTCCCTACAGCAACCACCCACGGTGGTACGTGGGGAAGAACAAAGGAGTGACGCGGCGAGCGAAGCAGGAGCTGCGTGATCGTCAATGGCGATGAGGGTCAAGAAGAGACCTGCCAGTCGACCTCCGCCAGTAAGCCGAAAGCCCGCTGCCAAGGAATCCGAGTTGCCGGTGACCCACTTCCACTACTTGAGGGAGCTAGCAGCTGTGCAGCTGCGAGGACTCGGCCTGATCGAGCTGGGGGATGCCCATTATTATGAAGGGCATGTGAAGGTTGCTGGCTTCATCATGGGCCTTGGTAAGGATGAAGAGTTTCTCGAATTCCGAGTCTCGGGCACGCAAACGGAGAGGCTTGTGGAGTTGTTGTCGGATCCGGCAAAACGTACAATGCAACTTCACATTTGCCAGAAGGGGTGTCTGTGGCAACCAACGGGAGAAGATATCCTCCATGCAGCAGGGTATTGGGTAGTTGGTGACCAAAAGCTCCCCTGGCACACGTTGTTGGAGGAGAAGCCCATGAAGCTGGATGAGGTCGATGAGTTGGCCAGGTTGAGAGCGTTGCATGAGGAGCGGCGGACTGGAGGAGAAGGGGAGAAGAAATCTCCCAGTAGAGGCAGTGAAGAGAAGAAGAAGAAAGAAAAGAAAAGGAAGAAGAAGTCAAGAGGGAAGGAGAAAAAGTCAGGCAAGGGCCGCATTGGCCGGAAAGAAGAAGATGAAGAGGGTGAGAGTGAGCAATTTGAGCGAGGTCAAAAGCCATTGTCGGTGCTCTATGAGAACACCTGCCTGGATCCGGACATTGAGGTGCGCAGCAAACTTTTGAAGAAGGCGAGGCGCTTTGGGGGCAAGGAGTCAAAGAAAAAGAAGCATTCCTCGAGTGAAGATGGCAGTGATTCCTCCACGACAAGTGAGACGGACTTGGAGGAATATGGAGAAGGGTTGTTTGAGGAGCGGAGGAAAGCTTTGAGGCTCACCCAAAGATATCCAGGAAGTTTGACCACCCAGACAATCATGAATATGAAAGAGAGTCTGCTCACGCAGAGTGGGACGCTATATTCCCAAGACAGGAAGGCCTTACCTCCGATATTTTCGAGGTATTTTCGGTCAGAGATGCAGCCGCTATGCACTCCGTCGATGAGCCAGGAACTCCTTACGTTGTGTCAGGGGGCCGACCTGCTTTTGCGTGGCCATCCAGCTCGTGCTCTAGATCTTTTGGCTCAGAGAGTTAAGGCTCTCGAGCAGCAGATCCATGGCGGACACTGGACAGTGGCAAGGCAACTAGAGCTTGTCAGTGCTGATGCCTCAGGTCTAAGCAAAGGCACAGAGGGAGCTGAGGCAGCCAAGCTGGCTCGTGAGGAGCTTAGGAACCGCCTCCAGGCGCAGCGGCCGTATGGGTCAAGCACCCGAGAGAAGGGTGACAGTGGTGGCAAAGGAAAGGATCGATATCCCCCCGTTGGAGAGAAGGGCAAAGGAGAGAAAGGCAAAAGGGATAAGGGCAAAGGAAAGAAGAAAAATGAGTAGTCCAAAAAAGCGACGAACTCAAGGCTTCAACAGGGGGAAGAAGAACGATCCAGAAGGTGAGGGTGTTGAGGACGAAGAGATGAGGTCATTGGTTGGTCGAACATTGGGCACTACATTGGGCGTTGAAGAGGATGAGGGCATTGAGCAGTTGTTGCGTGATAGTGAGAGAAAGGGCTTGCAGTTGAGACAGGGCAGCGTGACAGTGGAAGACAAGACCGTACAGAGCTCTGACATTGACGTTGAGCCCGGTTGGTTGAAAAGTGCAGTGCCAGCCAGGCGAACTTCTTTGGAGGAGCGGCCAGTTGATGAGGGCTTGGAAAGGGAGAGCCCTATCTCCCAGTGTCTGACAGGTGAACGGCTTTCAGCTGAGGACATTGGTCGAGTTGCACGCATTGAGAAACCTGCCATGGGGAGGACGACGATGTTACCGTCCTCCCAGATGTGGGTGGAGTCCCCTGACCGACCGACCTTTAGAGCGAGCCGGAAGGGGAGAGCCGACGTGCTTGAAGCAAGCTGGAGACAGGCGTTTGAGGACTGTCGCCATAACCTTGCCAGAGTGTGTCGCAAAAAAGGAGCAAGCTTTGGGGAGTTGGGGGACGTGGTCGCAGAGGCGTTGAAGGGGCAAGAAACTGGGTTTTCGCGTTGCAGCCAGGCCACAGGGGACCTTTTCCCCTTGCCGCTTCCTTCGTCTTTGGGCCGAACTTTCACGACGCCCCCCTGTGTTGATGCATTGGTGCAAGCATTGAATTCACTTTATGGGACAAAGACTGTTTCGAGGACACGTGAGGACAAGACACGGTTGACATTGGTTGACCGTTTGGAGAAAGTAGTGGTGAGGTCAGGTTTAGCTCAGGAGATTTTGCCAGAGATGGATTTTGAGAGATTCTTTGAGAGCAAGGGTGTTGATTATTCAGGTGAGGAGGTACAGGTGGCCCGACGGTTTCGGTGGCACATGATAGAGGCTGCCTTTCCAGAAGCGGTAGGATCGCTTGACTTAGAGGAGTTTTGTGATGGGGGTACACTTTCGTACATCCGGAACTTCGAGTCGTTCATGCTGCCTGTTGAGGACCAATATGTGGGAAAAGCGCCAACCATCATGGTGGAGACGGAGCACTGGCCGCAGGTGTGCTCGGGATTGCTTCGTCGAGGGGTTTGTCGAGCCATGCATGTTTCGGAGATCCACCATGTGGGTGAAAAGCCATTGCTCAACGGTATGTTTGCCGTAGGGAAGAGCGAGTTTGCAGTTGATGCGGAAGGGGTAGAGTTCGAGGTTTGTCGACTTATTATGAACCTCGTTCCTACGAATAGTTGTTGTCGAAGCTTGACGGGGGACACCTCCACCTTGCCCAGTGTGATAGGCATGTCATCAATTGTACTGGAAGATCACCAACTGCTGGTGACCTCCTCTGAAGACATTCGGTGCTTTTTCTACTTGTTCCGGACCCCTCCATCGTGGTGGAAGTTCATGGCCTTTGGAAGGGAGATCCCTCACGAGGCTCTCCCAGTGGGTTGCTCCGGTGGTGGATGGCACTTGGTCACGCAAGTGCTACCGATGGGTTTTATAAACTCAGTGGCTATAGCTCAACATATACACCGTCGAGTGATCAGTCAGGCCTTGAGGAATGATCAGAGGTTAGCGTCCGGTCATCAAGAGATCCGTAGGGACCGCCCCCACAGCAGTGCACCTCATCTTTTCCGTGTATACCTTGACAACTATGATGAGTTGAAGAAGGTGGATAGGACCCTGGCCTCGACTATTGCGGGTACACCCTCTGCGTGGACTCTGGCTGTGCGTGCAACATACGAGAGCCTGGGGTTGCCAAGGCATCCTAAGAAGGCAGTTACTCAGGAGGCGAGAGCAGAGGTGCAGGGAGCTTGGGTCGACGGGGAGCTGGGGCATGCAACTCCTAAGGTCGACAAGATCTTGAGGTATGTGAGGTTAGCGTGTGAGGCACTCATCGCAGGGAAGGCATCGCAGAGGGAACTGCAGGTGATTGGAGGTGGCTTTGTGTACATGGCCATGTTCAGAAGACCACTGTTGGCAGGCCTCAATGCGATTTGGCGTCGCATAGTTGAGCTAGGGACCGGTGGAGGTCGACAACGGGCAACACTTGGTTGTGAGGTTGCGCATGAGTTGTTGAGGTTCATTGCACTGGCTCCATTGGCTTACATGGACTTCCGTACTCAGGTCTCAGAGAAGGTAACAGCGAGCGATGCGTCCACGACAGGAGGAGGGTTGTGCGTGTCGCGGGAGCTGAGCCCTTACGGGATGGCGGCTAGTCTAGCTACCTGTAGGGGGGACATCATTACCCAGGACGAGGTGGGGTCGATCTTGGTCGTTTCCCTGTTTGATGGCATAGGAGCACTCCGGGTTGCGGTGGATGCTCTGCGTGTGCCGGTAGCTGGGTATGTCAGTGTCGAGATCTGCCCTGAAGCAAGGCGCGTGGTTGAGAGCTGGTTCCCTGAGGTAGTGCACATGGAGGATGTGGCAAGTGTGGGAGACGACGCGGTGCAGGAGTGGTGTCTGCGGTTCCCCAGCGTTGTGGCTGTCCTTCTCGGAGCCGGACCGCCTTGTCAAGGCGTGTCGGGGCTCAACGTTGACCGTCGAGGTGCCCTTCGTGACGCCCGTTCATGTCTGTTTTCCCACGTGCCCAGGATTGAACAGGCCATTCGGAGGTGGTTCACGTGGTGTCCGGTCTTCACCTTGATTGAGAATGTGGCATCGATGGATGCTGGTGATTGTAGCTTGATGAACAGCGCATACGGACTTGAACCATGGCTGGTGGATGCGTCAGGGATTTCCTTACCCAGACGCCCAAGGTTGTACTGGTTTAACTGGGATCCCAGGTCGATGGTAGGTTTGACTGACTACGTCCCGGTTGCCAGTGAAGGGTGAGCTTCAACTCGTTGCCACATTGAATGACAAGGACTTCTTAGAACCTGGTTGGCGGCGGGTCGAGGAGCATGGTCGTTTCCCAACGTTCACCACAGCACGGCCCTCTCCCACTCCGGGACGTAAGCCGGCCGGGTTAGCATTATGCTCGTCAGACGCAGTGCAACGCTGGCGCGACGATCAACATCGGTTTCCACCTTACCAATACCGAAGGGAGAACTGTGTGATCAACTCCCAGTCTCAGGTGCGTGTGCCAAGTGTTGTGGAAAGGGAGGCCATCATGGGGTTTCCGACAGGATATACTGCCAAATGTCTCCCGAAGTCAGACTATGAGACCGAAAGGTGGAGGGACTGTCGTCTCAAGCTGCTTGGAAACAGTTGGTCGGTTCCCGTGGTCACATGCTTGTTGCAATGCTTGTTTTGGACGTTGGGACTGGTCGATGAGCTAAGCACTGAGGACATTGTTCAAAGATTGACGCCAGGTAGGTGTGATGACCTTCCAGGTCTGTTGCTGCGGCCTCCTCTCAGGCACTCCACGAAGTCAGGTGAAAAGGAGGGAGGCCTCGTGCGCAAATTGCTAGGACAAGTTTCTGTTAAAGGGGAGGACATCCTACTACAGCTGTCCACTGACATTCCTGCGCGTTATCACCGGTTGAGAGCGTCGATACCAGGAAAACTATGGCGGTGGCGTGAAGTCGTTGGTTGGAAGTGGAAAGGGGAGGCTGAGCATATCAATGCGTTGGAGTTGCGGGCGGTGAAGACTGCTCTCGTGTGGCGCATCAAAGAGCTTCAAGAGACAGACACCAAATTCCTTCACTTAGTTGACTCGTTGGTTGTGCTCCACGCCCTGTCGCGGGGCCGCTCCAGCAGTAGGAAACTTCGGAGGACTTTGGCAAAGATCGGCGCGCTAATGCTTGCAAGCGGCCTTCATGGCGCATGGGGGTACATTGACACAAAACAAAACCCGGCGGATAAACCATCCCGCCGGCCTGTGCGCAAAGGATGGGTAAAAGCAAGAAGAAAATAGTGGAAGGTCGGAGCAAGCAACAGCGCAAAGCCGTTCGGAAGAACCTAGGGAAGCTCAAGGATTTGACAGTTCAGCCTCGTACAAAACAAAGATACGAACTTTGTCTTCAGCAATTCTTTGACTGGTTGACAGGGGAGGGGCTGACTCTCCCAAAGCGTGTTGTTGACATGGACCTCCTAGTGTCGGACTACCTGGAGCACCTCTGGGCCATTGGCGAGGGAAAGTCGGTTGCCAATAACACCCTCGCAGCGCTACAGGACCGAGATCCCAATCTCCGGCGGAAACTTCCAGGGAGCTGGCGACTTATGAAGGCCTGGGCCACCGCAGAAATCCCCAACAGGGCTCCGCCCATGACCTTGGCCGTCTTAGATGCCCTGTGCGGATGGAGTGTGATGAAAGGATGTCCTGAATTTGGACTCTCGCTGAGGGTGGCCTTCTTTGGTTTGTTGAGGACCGGAGAACTTTTAAAGGTTCAGGCAAAGGATGTCTACATAACTAGCCCTAAGGGGCCAGCAGTTGTCTCTCTGGGCCTGACGAAGTCAGGCGCCCGACAAGGAGCGGCTGAGTCAGTGACACTTTACGACACCTTGGTGTTGCAGGCCCTTTTTCGGTGGAAACAACAGGCACAACCCCATGCCTACCTCACTGTCAAGCAGCATGCTTGGCGAAAGCTGTTTAATCAAGCCCTAGAAGGGATGGACCTCATGACTTTTGGATACCGACCCTACTCTCTACGGAGAGGAGGGGCTACTTTCTTTTTCCAGCACCACGGTAGTTTCGACAAATTACTTGTCCTTGGGCGGTGGGCAGCCGCAAAAACTGCTCGTATATACATCAACGAGGGTTTAGCCCAGCTGTCCGAGCTCAGTGTCCCTAATTCGCGTTTGCGGTACTACCAATCCTTTTATGTCAAGCACCCGATACTTGAGCCTGGGCCCCGGAAGGCGCCCAGGTCAGGGGGACGTGGAAAGGGTCGAAAATGCGGGTTTTTTTCGTTCAAAGGGTGAAGGGAGAGAGTTTTTTCACCCTCAAATGCCTACCTGTTATTCAAGGGGGATGGAAGCAGGTAGGTCCTCTCAAGGTGCTCGGGCTCATGGAGCGC